TGGGTTCATTCTACTTTGGGGTTTGAAATAATCTCTTTTTAAGTTTGCATTTATTGTTTTGAAAATGTTGTATTTGAATGTAGCTTGGAACACAACCTCCCTGATAGTCCCTTTGCATCTCCTAAAGCTGCTGTGGACTACTTGACAGCCTTCTCCAGCACAGCTGGTGAGGCGGAAAAGAATGCCGCAGTTTTGGCAGCATCTGCTAACAATAACTTGATCACTTCATCCTTGCTTCCTGCCACTTCTACATTAGACATGGCTTCTTTGAAATCATGTTACTTTCAAGCAACAAGGTATTTTATTAGTTGTCACCACTTCAACACACCCATATCACCATTTCGATGCACCTACTACAGTAGTATCAGTAAATTTCATCCAAATAAGGTTCTGATTCAGGTTCTCTTCTGGTCATGGAGCCATTGGAATGTAGCTTGGTGCTGTTTTTTTTCAATTTTTTTAAGCTTTTTTGGCTCATGGGTAAGTAGTAATCACAAGAATATTATTCAAGTTGGTTTTATTTTTTTAGCTTTCTACACATACTTTCGAAAACTAATATACTTGATTTGGTTGTTGTGTTGTTTTGGGTGTTTTGTTTTGTTTTTGCTTTCTGCAGGAAGTTTGATAAGAATCAGAAACACCAAGATACATGTCAGAGAAATCACCACCACCACTAGCATCACCTCTCACCACCATGGATGCTATTATACAACTTATTTTACTAAGATACAAATGCATACGTAAAAAGTCAGAAGTGGGTCAGCCATTTCTGTCTTCGTTGTACTATTTCCCACATCTAAGTCGAGTGTCATATCTGTAGTTGAAGTTGGACCACAGGTTAAAATAGTCACAGAAAATCAAGCAATCAATGTGTAGTAGTAGTTGGAGTAAATTCTTGGGGGACTGTAATTTTCTTTAGCTTTTCTCACCAGTTATGGGCTTTTCCCAGTATAAATATCAGAAGTCCCAAGTGTAGTTTGTTAGTGTATGATGTTAGGAAGACAATTAATGTACAGCAGAACCAGAAACAACAATGTCAACAAAGAAGCCAAAGCTGTGTAACTAACTACAAGGCTGATTGGAAAGAAGGTAAAAAGTCAGCTCAATTTGGTAGTTTCAGGTATAAAAACAAGAAAAAAGAAAAGAAATGGTATTTTTTACCATAACTTGTTTGCTGTAATTGTTCTGTAATACACAGTATGAACCTTTAGATTTTAGTAGACAGAACAGGAGGGCAAGCTCACAAGGAAAAGATAAGAAAGAAAAATAAAAGGAAAGAGAGGCGGTGGTGGTTGGTGGTTATCACACCCATCAATTATATTATATATATACATAATATTTTATCATTCATATTACCACTAGTCGGACGGGGGAGTCGTATTATTGTTGACTAAGAATAAGATACATCACAATATATAGTATTATTAAGATTTTTTAAAATAATTTTAAAGTCGTAATATCAACCTATAAATAGACTTGATTAGATACAAAAAAATTGCGTTTGGGAACGTTAAATTCAAATTAAGGTCAAGTTTGACATGATTGAAAAAAGACAAAAAGTTAAAATGTCACTATCTTATTTAAGTCACATCATTTTATTTAAATCACATCACCTCTTTAACACATCACTTCAAACCCAATCCAAACCCAACCCATATTTCATAAAACGTCAAAAAGTGCACTTATTTAGGTCATCCCAAACAACTCCTAAGTATCATCTCTACATAGGAAAAAAAAAAAGGACACTTACCAATCAAACCTATTAACTGAACTTATTTACCTGCATGTCCTATTGACAAATTTATCACCGTAAATTTGTTCATAAAAATAAAAGAAACTGACAAATTTATCAATATTACTTAATGAATAATAAGTCCCAAAAATAGGACTTCTTGGTAATTTATCATAAAAAAAATTACAAATCGGAAAATCACATATTAGATTGTCTTATTTGACAGATGATTTAACCATAAAAATATGTAACATTGTTTGGGCGTTGTTGTTCATTGGTTGCTTGTTTGAGTGATTAGGTTGAATGGGTATAACCAAAGCAATTACCAATTTCTTCATTATGTTAACCACTCAAAAAAATATTAGAACCAAATAAATTCAGCCCATGCATATTTACTTTGCCCATGTTTGATTTGATTTTTAAAAGCTTGTTTCAATTTTTTTAAACTAAAAATTAATTTGGTGAAATAAATAAAAAATTAAAAATACTTATCACCTTTATATAATTTTATCTTTTGGGAGGTCAAAATTCATTTTTTATAAATATTTTTTTTTGATATTTATTTTTATCAAATTAATTTCAAAATTTTCAATAATTCTTTTTCCTCCTGAAAACAAACCAAACCATCCGTTGTTTTTTTTTATAAAATATATCAATTAAAAACCAAGTATCTAGACCGAACAATGGTAACAAGTAGAAAAACATGTGGCTTTTGCTTGGTTATACTCAACACAGGTGGCTAAGTTTTAAAGAAGATATTATTTCAAAAATAATTTTTTTGAGAGAGTTTAGAAAATTTGAAAATTTGTTTGGTTGTATATTTTGAAAATAGTTTTGGAATTTTGGAATTTTGGATGATTTGATATTTTTCTATAGTTGAATAGATGGGTATGAGATAACAAGTGATTGAGAATGAGAGAGAAGAGAGAAAAAGTGATTGATTAATGTGTGGTAGAAAGAAAAGTGATTTTGAAATTTTTTTTCTCTAAAATTTTCAACTAAACATGTTGAATTTTTTTTTCCACCAAAAACATATTTTGAGAGATAACCCAAACATGCTTATAACTTTTCATATGAATATATTTACAAACATAAGCATATTCAATTGCTATAAATCTATAACCCATATATAAATCACAACAAAAACACTATGAAGCAAACAAATAAGAGACATGCAATCTTATACACAAAAAAGCCATATAATTATTGTTTAATTGTTAACTAACATTGTCTAAGGCTCTTCTTCAACTTCATGGGCATTAGAAATGGAGCTAATCACAACATAGAATTTTTTACTCACCCGAATAAGACCATTTTGATAGTGAACACTATTTGAAAGAGGAAATTAAAAACCAACATTGTCGTCTAAACTTTGACCGACAATAATGTGGTATAATAGGTGCTAACTTTTAATTTATTACACATCCAATGATAAAAAGTTCAACTCTTATTATATCATCATACCAAACTATATATCTCTAACATTTTTGAAAAATTTATTATATATTATAGGAACAAAAATACTATAAATCCAAACTTATGAATCCATAATTTGTCCATCAAATTTTTTTTTTTTTTTTTTTTTTTTTTTTTTTTTTTTTATGGATAAATTCTTAGTTTATAAGTATCTTGTTATATGAAATATTTTGTAGAAAAATTGAAGTGACCACTTCTATGCCGAGGCTACGTGGCTTGATATGTAGCAAAGCTATACGTCATCATTTCTATACCAAATAGTCCGTCACAATGGTAAACTGTAATATTATTTGTAGAAATGACATTTTTTTTTTAATTGGAGCTCGAGACCCAACTTAATGTTTTGCCACTTTTCTATAAACATTGTGAAAAAATTTATTTTACAAGAAAAATAAATTAATCTAGTAAGTATATTTTTTTTTCAAAATATATATAACATTTAATTTTTAAATTTTTTTAAAAAATGACATATACCTCTTTTATTAATAAAACACTCAATAAAATTGATATATTAAGAGTAGTTTGTTTATTGGACATGTTAATATTATTTTTTAAATTTATAATAAGTTAAATTGTTTTGCAAATGTTACATGATTTTTTTTTTTTATGAATAGATTATGTGAAATCGTGGTTTCAAATTAAACCAGATTGTATTTAAATAGTTTGGTTTAGATCAATTTCATAATTTTAATGAGTTAATTTAATTTTAATTTTTTTTTTAGAATTGTAGCCAATAAATTAATCTTGATTTCATCCTAAATCGATCCCAACCAGACCATATTAACCCCTCATTGTGAGCTTTGTCAGCCTCCCTCCACCAGCAAAGACAAATTATTCAAAAGTCATGATGATCAATCAACCAATTAAAAATAAATAAATGGCGAATTACACTAACAGTCCCTATAGTTTGAGACTCGTGTCACTTTGATCCCTGACTTTACAATTGTGACACATTTGACCCTAAATTTCAAATTTTGTTCCAAATAAGGACAATTGAGGATACCATTGATAAATTTCAAGGGCAAAGTCGTCAATTTGATAAAATATAAACTAATTTGACAAATCAAAAAAATATTTTTGAATTTTTAAAAATAATTTTTACGCACCAAAGATAAAATTATGTAAAATTGTTAAATCTTTTAGACATTTATTTTATTTTTTTACCAATTTAGTCTTTATTATGTGTTTAAATGATAATCATGTAACGAGTGGTTGTTAGGCTTTTAATATGTAATCAATACATTTAATATATGAAATGTTTTTAGTTTTGAATTTTTTAATTTAATGGATTGGTTTAATAATGATATCAAAGTTGTCTCCATATTTAACTTTTGGAAAAATAGAAACTAATTTAATAAAAATAAAAACAACTACCTATTAGATGATCATCATCCAAACACAAAATAAACATTAATTTGGTAAAATAAATAAATAAATAAATGTCTAAAAAAATTATCAATTTTACTCAATTTAATCTTCAGTGGGTAGAAATAATTTTTAAAAATTCAAAAATATTTTTTGACATTTATTTTTATCAAATTAGTTTATATTTTATTACATTGACAATTTTACCTTTGAAATTGAGCAATGGTATCTTCAATTGTCCTTATTTGAAAAATGTTTTTAGTTTTGAATTTTTTAATTTAATGGATTAGTTTAATAATAATATCAAATTTGTCGCCATATTTGATTTTTGGAAAAATAGAAACTTATTTAATGAAAATAAAAACAATTACCCATTATATGATTATCATCCAAATACATAATAAATATTAATTTGGTAAAATAAATAAATAAATAAATGTCTAAAAAATTTATCAATTTTACATAATTTTATCTTTAGTGGGTAGAAATAATTTTTAAAAATTTAAAAATATTTTTTGACATTTATTTTTATCGAATTAGTTTATATTTTATTACATTGACGACTTTACCCTTAAAATTGAGCAATGATTTGTCCTTATTTAAAATAAAATTTAAAATTTAATATTAAATGTGTCACAATTAAAAAATTAAAGATTCAAGTGACATAAGAATTAAATTATAAATACCGTTGGTATAATTTATCTATAAGTAAATAATAAATAATGAGCACCAACATAATGGCTGGGAAGGGTAATAATTATGGGGGGCAATTGGACTTTAGACACGTAATGGCTGGGAAGGGTAATAATTATGGGGGGCAATTGGACTTTAGACACGTTTGGCATCTTGTGTTAAATTAAAGCTGGCCTCCTTTTTTTTTTTTTATATATGTTATAGAATAGATAGATGGATATAGATATAATGCAGTTTCCTCATAAATAAAAAAATAATAATAATTATAATAATAATAAAAATGCACGGTGATGGTAAGAGACGACTTTGGGAGTGTTTAGTGGGGTTTTTTTTGAGCCAACTTACGGCTTCTGGTTTTCAAAAAGTTATTTTGAATTGTTTGGTTAAATTTATTTCAAACAGTTTCTGATTATAATAACTTATTTTAAGTCAAAAAAACTGATTCTGAGAAGTTGCTTACCCCTTACTTCTGATTATCAATTTCTGCTATGGACATGTTAATTCACGGTTATACTCTTAGATTTTTTTATTTTTTATTTTTTTTAAAAATAGAAAAAGACCCAAATGAACTATAAAATATTATTATTATTTTTTATGAGAAATGTAGACAAATAGTGAATAATAAAAAATAAAAGTTAATTGAAAAAACTACTTCACAGCTTATTTAACAAACACTACTCAGCAACTTAAATCTATAATCCAACAGTTATACCAAACAGATTAATAGCTTCTGATTAAAATCATAATTTATAATCTGTTAAGTTATAATGTATAATCTGTTTTAACAGTTACACCAAACAGGACCTTTGGCGTTTTGCATTAGATTAAGCAGCTTTCATTCTTTTATATATGTTATAGACTGGTGTATATTCGTATCATTTTATAATTTTATGTAATTTTGTATGATTTTTATATATTTGTATATATTTTAAGGGTTTATACATAAATT